GCTGGTGTTACATTATATTGCTTCCCCATAGCTGACTCGACCAGATTCCAAATATTCTCTTTCTGTCTCCTTTTATCTCGATCACAGGGAATGGAAGGCTGCTGATGGAAATTGCTGAAACACCCCCTCCTCTTTGTGGTGGAGGAGCAAAAGCTCAGGTAGGGGAGCTTGATCAGAGGAGAGAAAAATTGGAGATATTTAAATTTCTGGTGCCTGCAGTAGGTTACACTACTTTATTTTGAATTAAGTCCCTTGCTATCTCAGGCATGTGGACAAAGAACAGTCACATACCCAGAACTGAATTAAAAGTTGTCTTTCCAAATATATTGAATTTTTTACTTGACTGATTCCAACTAGTTAAAACAAAGCAGTTAATTTATAACAATAAATATACTGTTAGCATTTAACATATATGGAAGCACATCAGATTAGAAATTACTAATGTGAAATATGGGTTTACTACATAAAAATGGCTGTTGCTGCTGCTGCAAAGAATTTTGGGGGCAACAGTCTAAAAAAAATGAAAATTTTCACACAGAACGGGGATCTCACAAAGTCGCTTAGGTCTTCCAAGTCTTTTTCCAAGATGAATTGTGCCAAGAAGAAATTGCAACCAGACAGGTGTGAGTGATATCCTCACCAGTGTCAGGTCTACGATGTTCAAGCCCCAATACAGACAAATCTCTTGAAATCCAAAGCAGATTCAAAAAAGATTTCATTTATTGGAGGATACATGCAGTTCTAAGCCAAGCATTGCTAAAACTAAAGCCCGAGTAATTTTCCCTCTACTTTTACCCCCCTTGTCCCCCTTTCAATCTAGGTGCCACTTTTGGTTCTCACAGATGTGTGGCCTTGTGCATTCCAACCCTGATAACATGTCTTCTTCCTGGCCTTCAATCTTCCTCAGGTTCTGTCTGCTTTCACTCCCCCCCCCCACCAGTGAGAATGGCAGAATCAAAGCAAGCTAAGAAAGCATTCCCTAAAATCAATGTATACCATGGCATTTACTATACTAATAAAACAGTCCTCTAGTTGACATATATCTTGATTGCTGCAGATTCTGACACCAGACAGGTTAGGTGAGATTTTACTGCTCCCCTGAGTATTTCTACAGAAGCATTTTGGACCAGGGAAGGGCTCTTCAAGGTGGCTGCATTGCTAAACTCTAAACTGGATGTTCTAATTCCATCTTTGTGCACTTGTCAACACTTGCCAACCATAGTGAGTCTTTAGAAAGGCAAATATAAAACCTGGTACTGATAGTTCTCAGGTTATGATGGCAATTCAGACTGGAATTTCTACTGCTGAGCGATGCGGTTGTAAAGCACGTCGTCATGTGACCTCTTTGCTTAGCGATGGCAGTCCCAGCAGTCCCAGTTGCCATTGTAACCCAGAGATTAAGCAGGTCATTAAGAGAGGACCTCACGTGACCAGTCCGAGGCAAGCAGACCGGCGGGCAAGCTGCGGATGGATGGGTGAGTGCTGTGGGCGGACACTACTTGACGCGGGCACGGGCCACAGGTGGACACTACTGAGTACAGGCAGGCCAAGGGGATCATAGGCAGGTGCTACAGAGCACAGTTGTGCTGGTCATTGCCATGGGCAGGTGCTACAAAGCATGGGCAGGCCAGTGGGATCTGCTACAAAGCACAGGCCTGCAGGGGGTTTCTATAGAGTCCGTAGCAGAGCTTCTCAAGAGAAGAAGCGGTGGGAGCCACTTGTGATCTTCCCTGTCATTTTCCCTGTTGACTTTGCTTATGGAAAGCAGGCAGGGAAGGTTGCAAATGGCAAGCACGTGACTGCAGCTCTCTGTGATGTTGTAATCATGAGCCAGATGCCCAAGTGCCCAGATCATGTTCATGTGACCACAGGAACACTGCGATGGCCAGAACTCCGAGGACTGATCATAAGTCCCCCTCGTTCAGCACCATTGTAACTTTGAAAGGTCACTGAGTGAGTGGTTGTAGCCCAAGGTATACCTGTAGTTTATCATATCAGAAAAGGAGGATTTTCTCTTTTGTGAAAGTGCTTTTAAGGTCTGGAAGAGAATTTCCTGGGATTTCTGTTGTGGAATGTTCCTTTGACTTTTAGAAATGTTTTAAGAAACAAATGTTTTAGAAGTGCTTTCTTTTGACTTTCAGGGCTCCGTGTCCTTTGAGGAGGTGGCTGTGTATTTCACAGAGGAGGAGTGGACATTGCTGGATCCCAGCCAGAGAGCCTTACATGGGGAAGTCATGCTGGAGAATTCTAGGAATGTGACCACTCTGGGTAAGGACGTGCTTTGCTCTGGGTTCAGTTAATTGTGGAAAGCCTTCTGTTGTCCTATGCACTCAGAAAGGTGTTTCTATCTAGAAAAAGAAAATTATTTTTCATTTCATTTTGTTTTGTTTTATTTTTATTTATTAAATAAAACAATTTAACAAATAAAATATTTAATAAATATTACATGATACACTTAAAGGCCCAACTGATTGATTTGTTACTAAAAACCTTGTTTTTATAGCTATAGTTAAAAATCTGGCTGTTGCCGCTGTGTTCTCAGGATTTTCATCTGAGATCATCATCAAAAATTTCAAGTAAAATTTTTACATACTCAGAAGTATCCCTTCCTGGTTTAGATTTTAAAATAGGCCAGATAACTTCCTGCCAAAGACTCTTATAAAATTTACAATATAATAAACTATGATCCACTGTTTCAGGATCAGTATCATTACAGGGACAAAATCTTTGAGAGGTGGGAATTTTTTGAAATGTACCATATAGCATATTTGATGGCAATACATTTAATCTGGCTTTTGAGAAAGCTGTTCCGTATTTACTTATATATAAGCTATCCACATATTTAGGGAGTTGAAAATATATCTGTAATTAATGCCAAGTTACAGGTGAACACGATACT